CTGAGATTTTCATCAAACAATTTTCAGATCATATGCAAATAATTAAGAATAAAATATTGCTTAATTAGTATTTCAAAATCTCATATAAATATATATTTGGTGAAATTGATTCTGTTTGTATTTGAGGTGACTGATCTACCTTCTTGCAGTCTTTCTAGCTATGGTGTGATTTTGTTTTTGCTGGTAATGTAAACATTTCATTAGAAATTAACAAGGAAGGTATATAGCAGGATGGTGAATTGGTGATGATCCAAGAGAAAGAGGGCTTGGAATGTGTCTTTATTTGGAAACTAGCAAATCTTTAATGCCTGGGATGGTTCATGGTTCCTCCAAATGGGACTGGGACTGGGACTGGGACTTGTCCTGGTGAAGGTGAAGGGTGTCAATTAGCTGCTTAGGGTTTTGTTTCTGTCTATGTCCATCATCCATGTCTCCATGATATATAGCCATAGGACGATGCAGGGCACTGGCTGTAGTGACAACCAAGCTTCACATGTGACGAGGCTTTCATTAATGGAACCATTTGCTTGATTGGTGGAGTGGAGTCCATCCTTGGGGTTTAGCCGCGGCTGAATGCTGAAGGCATCTTCCAAGTTCCAAGTAAGGTTGCTGAGGGACTGAGATCCAGAGGTGCAGCCTAGCTAGGGGCTTTGGGGAGCTAATATATAAGGGCCGGGGAAGAGCAGGGACCTAGGGGTCTTAATTCCCAAATTGCCACTAAATTGCCATTTTCCAATTCTCTAGTTGAGTCTAGTAGAGTCCTTTGCACCACAACCAAGAGGGGTTGTCACCAAATTGGGAGGGGGGTGTCTTCATGTGTTAAAATATAATATTCCATGCCAGTTTGGCCAGCAAAGCAACATAAAAAACAAACCAAAATCACGGAAACCTATTCCTCCTGTCTCTTTGGTTCCACACCTTTTGAACCAGCTGATCCACCTTATAATTCTTTTATTATCTTTTTCACCCCAGGAGAAAGGCTGTACGTTTGCTATTTAGAACATGGTCGTCGCCTCGTCGGAGAGAAGGGTAAAGAATGCCGTGGGTGAGCCATGCCTACCTTTTGTTGCCCTAATGGCCTCTTAGATGCCTCTTCTCCGGCAGTCTTCACGCCAATTTTTTCTTGCGCTTCCACTATTTTTCTCTAATCTTTGTTTCACTATTCTCTCTCTCTCTTTGTTGATGCTAGAGGAAGGAAGAAATAGCGCAATGATGCATCTACAAATTACAGTCTATATGCTACAGGCAATTGATTGATCATGTTTGAGCAATGAGAAAGGTTGGAAATTTTACAAATAGCTACTGGCTAAAGCTATTTGGACTAAATTAAGGAATTTTATCAAATTTATACCTTGACAATTAAACATGATTGGTGCAAATATTAAAAAACAACCAGTTTCAATTTTCATTCATTGCTGAACCGGTTCATATTTTACATTGGTGAAAAATTAAATTTACACCTAAAACAAACTCAATCTTAGCAAAATTAGAGAATTAAAGGATTTCTCTTTTTAATTTTCATACCTATCATTAATTGTATAAAGGAGGCTCTGTCTTGGGAATGGCACATAGTTTCAGTTCAACACTTTTGTGTTAGCGAGTAGAAGTGAAAAAATCACTCTCCTATGATATTCTTATGATTGTTTGGCATTGATGCTGTTTTCTAAAAAAAATGTTATTATATAAATATCACATGAGAAAAACTGATGCTTCAAATAACACTCTCTTGTTTAATATCATTTTTTTAGAAAAAACATTGTTTTAAGTTTTTAGATCACACTTTGAAAATTGAAAAAGTGTGATTTAGAACAGGAAAAATCTATGATGTGGAAAAATATAATATGAGAAGCCATGAATTTTAATAAATAACACCTACCCACTGTTTGTTGTGTGAGGCACTTTGTGAAGTGTGATCAACCTGGGCCGTAAATTCACTAGTGACGTTCCACGTGTCTTCATCTCGTCTTATTCTTTTTTCAAGAGCACGGCGCACTCTGAGCAAAAGCAAACAGCGTCATTTATACATACAAATAGTCTCAAGTCTCAACTCAACCATGTCATCTACCGGCCTACCTTAGGTTGGGCCTTTGAAATACTAGTGACGGTTCAATCAATTTTCAATTACTGATGCACCGTACACGTACAGAGAGCATAATCATCCCGTACGGAGACTGAGCTGTTGCACAAGTGGGACGGTGGCCGTGGGAGTGGCAACTGGCAAGTGCTCTCTGGTTCAAACTTCAAAGTTCTGCTGCACAACTATTTTCAACATAATTTGATCCGATTCCTATCTGGTACGGTTATATGTACACCAGAACCCAATTCCATCTTACCGGACCCAAGATATTCGACCCAAGTAACCCAGATTTTCTTTTCCTTTCTTGCAATTAATATACCATGGATCCATGATCGATGGAGGAGTCGCCCATCTGATCCGCTTCTGCAATCAGTAATCCGCTACTCCTGACGAAACAGCAGAAATTTTAGGAGCAGCAATCAGCTGACACTTTCAGGAGAATTGGGATCTATTCCGCGCCTCACACCGACCTCACAGCTATAGTGTATGGGGAACATCTCCTCCATAAATGATAAATAAGAAAATTGTATAAAATTCATTATGAATTTTCAATATTTCTCTTAAATTTATCATAATTTTTTAAAATGTCTAAAACTCACTATGTCACTAAGTTTTTATTAGGGATGCAACTTTTTCGGGTTAGGGTTGGAATTTTGTTAAATTTTCAATAGGCCCAATTCAAAACCCGAGCCCGAAACAATATAAACTGTTAACTTGGGCCAACCCAACTTACACCCCTAGTTTTTATTTTCCAAAACTCACCTTTGGCTAGTGCACCATTAATGCTTCTTCACAGACGTGTTCATATCATCATAAATAACAATTTTCGTGACTAAATTATCCTTGAATGGCAAATTAGAGGAAAAATGGTATTTTTCAGTTTTCAATTTTCTTGTTTTTTTTTTTGCACTTTTAGTGTTTTGTTATAATTTCTGTTTTTTTACATTTTCTATTTTCTACAATTTATCAATTTCCCTGTATTTTTTGTTAATTATTTGTAATTTTTGTGTTTTTCTATAATTTTTAGTGTTTTGTCTATAATTTTTATTTTCTGATTTTTTTAAATAATTTTTATTTTGTTTGCAATTTCTATAATTTTTATATATTTTATATTTGAAAATATTTTTTAAACTTTTTCTTTCTTTTCATGTCTAAGTATTAAAATAGTAATATATTAACACCCGTTAATTTATAAAATGGTAATATATTAACACCTGTTAGTCTGTTTAACATGATGAATTTAAAACATTTTGAAAAGTTATGATGAGGTTAAGAGAAATACTTAAAAATTTATAATGAGTTTTAAACAATTTCTTTAATAAATATACAAGAGATATTTCCGATATGCGGCCAAGACATATTAAAATCGATGTAAGGGCACGTTCTGTGAGAGCAGATTCGGACTCCTCACAGGAACTGTCTACAGTATTTGGGAGGATTGAGATGGTGTTCCTCTTGAATCCAACGGCTGGAGAACGCCATTGAATTGTTGGAAGCGGGAATTATCAATTATGCCTGTGCCCTGTGGCACCGCACAACTCACTCGAATCCAGATGTGCCCTTCGCACATCGCACCTCATACCAACCTTACAATACAACGCTTTCAGCCGCGTTGAAAACATCACCCGTACTTTGATTTTGCCATTCGTGGAAAGTGGAAACATCGGGGCTGCGATGATAACTGTTTATGTCATGGGAATGTCAATTTGGAAATTTTTGAGAAAGGAAGGGGGCATATTAAGTAAAATAAGCTTGTACAACACGTGTACGAAGGTAAAATCCGGGCCAAGGATTTTTGTTCTTTTCGAGCATAAAGGTTCCGAGTGGACCCGGTTGGTTGTTGGTCGGTCAGTCTTAAGCTCATTATTGAAAAACTTTCCAAAATTCCAATCCAATGGTTTGGATTCAGAACACCGTTCACTCCAAAGGCCCAAAGGCATGGATTTATTGGTCGAACTCAGATCCAATATAGCCTTATTTTTTTAATAGAATTAATAGATGTAGTCTGAGTATCCAAAGCAATTTTAAGTTTTAAATTTTTAATTTTTAATTTCCGATTTCCGTATTTGTATGCTTTCAACTGTGGGGGGAGACAACTGATCTTATGGGTAGCAGTAGCATCTTGTGACAACAGATTCTCTCTCTCTCTTCCTAAGTGCATTGACACAGTCACTTAATTAGTATGTCAATTAGTTTTAGGGCTGCAAATTGGGTAATCTGTCACCATTAGTAGGTCATCAGTCCACTTATATATAGGCTCGGCGGTGTGCATATTGTCACTAATTTACTAATTACATCCACCAACACATATTAAAAAAAAATTGATCTACAAATATATGAGGTCTGATGATGATAAAACAATTCAATTAACTTATTTGGCGAATTTGGTAGGACATACCCACCCCTGGACTTATAAGCTAGAACCCAAGAAAGAGGACATTGAAATATTATTATTATTATTATTAATTTAATGATATCTATCTGGTATTGGCACATGGCTCTCCCTGGTGACAAACAAAGAAAAGAATAAACAAAACCCATGTTTGGATATGATTTAATTTACAGTTATTAGGATTTTTTTGCTTCTTGATGTAGATTATTTATAGCAAAATAAAGCCTGGGTCTGTCATAGTTCCTAATAAGACACGTAAACCAGCTCAAAATTCGGCTTGAAAAGTTGTAGCAGCTGTATCTCTTTGCTATTTGAATATGGGGAACTCGATTCCTGGTTTGGACCAACTTGAGTCAGGCCGAGTCAAGGGTGTGGGAGTGATGAGTTCAATGAAGAGCATAGAATAGATAGTTAGTTGGCACGCGCGTTGCCGTACAGACTACAAGTAGTTACAGACTTATTTACAGTTAACCACGGTAAAGTCGTGCGGTAATGCAATGGAGCTCACTGTGCTCTGCTCCTCCTCTCATCACTCATCGGTCATCACTCCCCAAAAAGGGCCAAACGAGAGAAGAGGGTCAGAGACTCAGAGAATCAAATGCTTTTGTACAAAACAGCTCTTTTTCCTCTTTCGGTTTTGTTTCTGCCGGATAAAAATCTAATGGAAGAAAATTAGAAATCAAAAGAGAAAGCTCTGTTGTTCATTGTGTCCTAGGAAGAGAAAGGGAATCTCTGAATGATTTCCTTTATTTTCTCTCCACTCCTTCAACTTATCTTCTTTATTCACTTATTATAACTTACTTTGTTAGTATTCTTACTTCTTACTTCCCCTATCGGATGCCACACTCTGCAACTTCTGCACACTCGTCTCAGTTATTATCAACATTGTACGAGTTTTGCTGCAAGTTCCTTCTGTGCTGAGTTGATCTCTCTCTCTCTCTCACACACACACACATACACACACACCATTTTAGTTGTGGGTGGATGGTAGGTCTTTGTAGATGGGTTCAGAGTGATACAAATTTAGTTATTTTCGTTTCGATATCAACCTTGTTTAATGGTTGTTTGCCATTTACCTTTTGAGCTATTTGGGTTGAACGTAACTGTCGACAAGTACGGATTCCTGATTCATTTTAGCTGTTGGGTTACTGAAAGCCTGAATTATTCCTCAATATCTTCAAATTTTCTACCTTCTTCTCGAATTGTTGTTGGGTTTAAGATTTGGAAGTTGGGTTTTCCTGTATTTCCTTTTTTCAGTTTTTTACTCTGTTGTTAGATTATTTAAATGTCTGGTGTTCTATTAAAAGAAAATTGAAAGCATTGTAGTTGTTGAGACCTTGTACGTTGGAAGGAGCCCGGAAACAATTTTCTCAGTTATCTTTTTTAATAGAAAATGTTATGGTTGTTCTTGAGACTATAATGCCATTTTACATGCTCGGAGCTTTGAATTTTCAATAAAATCTAGAATAGCTTTCTTGTTTTCAAGTCTTGGAAGAGTTGGGAAGATTTTATTGGTGTTACTGAGATTATTTGGTTTGGTAATTGCAGGATTCACCTAATCTGCTTTACTTTCTGAATGAGGTTTTAATAATTCCTTGTCTCTCATGTTCTAATTTTGTCTTCTCAATTGGGTTTTGTAGAGCTTGATTCTATAAATTGGGAAATAAAGGAATCAACAAACTACTCTTCCTATTTTCAAATATCCGGAGTGTTTTTTATCTGTTGTGCATAATGGTTTCAAGGTCTTATTCCAATCTTTTGGAGCTTGCATCTGGTGATTCTCCAACCTTTGGAAAAGTAGGAAAGAGGCTCCCTAGAGTGATGACTGTGGCTGGAATAATCTCTGAACTAGATGATGAGAACAGCAACAGTGCCAGCTCAGATGCGCCATCTTCTGTAACTCAGGAGAGGATAATCATTGTTGGAAACCAGCTTCCAATCCGGGCACACCGAAGATCTGATGGTGATGGAGGATGGAATTTCAGCTGGGATGAAGATTCCCTCCTTTTGCAACTCAAGGATGGGCTTGGAGAAGATGTGGAAGTCATCTACATTGGGTGCTTGAGAGAGGAGATTGATCCAAGTGAACAGGATGATGTGGCACAGACATTACTTGAGACCTTCAAGTGTGTCCCCACGTTTATTCCTCCAGATCTCTTCAGTAAATTTTACCATGGGTTCTGTAAACAGCAACTATGGCCTCTATTTCATTACATGCTTCCTCTCTCCCCTTATCTTGGTGGTCGCTTTGATCGATCTCTTTGGCAAGCTTATGTTTCTGTCAACAAGATTTTTGCAGACAAGGTGATGGAAGTCATAAGCCCTGATGATGATTATGTATGGGTTCATGACTACCACTTAATGGTGTTGCCAACGTTTTTGCGGAAGAGGTTTAACAGGGTAAAGCTTGGGTTCTTCCTCCATAGTCCCTTCCCATCATCTGAGATATACCGGACACTTCCTGTTAGAGATGAGCTTCTCCGAGCCCTCCTAAACTCTGACCTTATTGGTTTTCATACCTTTGATTATGCTAGGCACTTCCTTTCATGCTGTAGTAGAATGCTAGGCCTTACTTATCAGTCTAAACGGGGTTACATTGGGCTCGAATACTATGGCCGCACTGTCAGTATTAAAATTCTGCCCGTTGGGATTCATATGGGCCAGCTTCGATCTATTATGAATCTTCCAGAGACGGAAGCTAAGGTTGCAGCATTGAGGGATCGGTTTAGGGGTCAATTGGTGTTGCTTGGGGTGGATGACATGGACATCTTCAAAGGAATCAGCTTGAAACTGCTTGCCATGGAACAGTTGCTCATACAACATCCTGATTGGAGGGGGAAAGTTGTGTTGGTTCAGATTGCAAACCCTGCCAGAGGCCGGGGGAAGGATGTCCAGGAGGTCCAATCTGAGACTTATTCCACGGCAAAGAGGATTAATGAAACATTTGGGAGGCCAGGATACAAACCTGTGGTTCTGATTGATTCCCCACTTCAATTCTATGAAAGAATTGCATATTATGTAATTTCTGAGTGTTGTCTTGTTACAGCAGTAAGAGATGGAATGAATCTCATACCTTATGAATATATTATAAGCCGGCAAGGGAATGAAAAACTAGATGAGACTTTGCAACTGGATTCATCAGCTCCGAAGAAGAGCATGCTAGTGGTGTCAGAGTTCATTGGCTGTTCGCCATCACTCAGTGGGGCTATCCGTGTGAACCCATGGAACATTGATGCTGTGGCTGAAGCTATGGATGCTGCTTTAATGGTTCCTGAACCTGAGAAACAGTTACGACATGAGAAACACTATAGGTATGTAAGTACACATGATGTCGGGTATTGGGCACAGAGCTTTTTACAGGATCTCCAAAGGGCATGTTCAAACCATCTGAGGAGGAGGTGCTGGGGTATTGGTTTTGGTTTAGGGTTTAGAGTAATTGCTCTTGACTACAGCTTCAGGAAGCTTTCAGTTGAGCATATAGTTTCTGCTTATAAGAGAACCAAGAATCGAGCAATTCTCTTAGATTATGATGGTACCATGATGCCACAGGCATCCATCAACAAAACACCAAATCCTGAGTTAATCTGCATCTTGAACAGCTTGTGCAGAGACCCCAAGAATGTGGTCTTCGTTGTTAGTGGAAGAGACAAGAAGACTCTTACTGAGTGGTTTTCTTCTTGTGAAAGGCTTGGTATTGCAGCAGAGCATGGTTACTTTCTGAGGCATGTATACACTAATGTAGTCCTCATTGATTGATATTCTTTGTTTTTATATATGCTAATTGAATTTATTTGGAATTTATCATATAAGCTAATTATTCTAATGTTTTATTATATTGGGAGTACAAGCATTCGAGTTGTGTTAGTTTGAAACATCATTGCTTACACAAATATCTTCCCCAAATAATATTCCTGCATGAGACAGAAGGGTGTGCATTGAAAGTCTAAACTACACGAGATTTGCAAAATTTGCTTAGGTCATGATTTTGTTTTTTGTTTGAGATTCGCTACTTCTGTAGTAAATCTGATTTGGGTTTCTTATATGATTTAGGAAATTAAATCAAGTTTAATTTGTAATTGATGACCTATTTCATCTAAAAGAATGGGATCCACACCATTGAAAGTCTTTATGGCGAGTCTTTTATTTGAGTTAGGAAATTGAATTAGAAATGCTAGCATGGGTCCCACAATATTTGAAGTAGGTACTTTTTGTATGTGTATCCACATGTCTGAAGTGAGTACTTTTTTATGAGAGTGGGGTTAACTTCCTCTTCTGTTTTCATCTAACTCATTTTCTGGGATGATGTATGCCATGCTTATTTAACCAGTATGCTAGTAACATTCAGTTCCAACTGGCTCAGTTGGTAAGGTCTCCAGCTGAGACTTGGGGATCAAATCCTGCTTTCACTAGTGTTTGCAGGGTTATGGATTGGGGGACAGGGTTGTGTAACCTCATGAAGCAGGAAAAAATGCTGATAACAACAAAACTCTATGCTTCTCATGCATAAGAGGGGATGAACCAATCATCTAGGCCTAGGGGTGATCATGGGCTGGACTGAGCATAGATGGGCCCTGGCCGGGCTGCACCAGGTTCTGGGCCTATGACAAATATTTAATGTTTTATATTATATGACACATATATGTATGTATGAGGTGTAGTTCAGAATGCCAGAGGTGCAAGCCTAATAAGTACAAGGCCTATGCCTAATCAAGAGGAGGAGAGAAAATGGTTCCCTTGCTTTTATTTATAAATAGGGAACATGATCAAATTTTAAGGGTTTTCGTACTCTGTATTATGTTATATATAAATAGAGAACATGATAAAATGGTTCCCTTGCTTTTATTTATATAATTTTTATTATGAATAATTGGCTTAAAAGTAAGAGCATATGAGGCATATGCCTCTTGTATAAAGTGCATTACAGGCGTATGCCTCCAGATGTTTTCTTAGTGCTTCATGCCTCCAACACTTTTTAAAATGTTGATATAAATATGTGTGGATAGGCCGGCTATAAATGATCACCCACCCCTACAACCATATGATGGGTCTCATCTGGAGCTGGAGATTATATGGGCCAAATATGGAACTGGGTAGATGATCACAGTGATTAAAAACTTCTGCATTTCATAAGCATATTTTCCTGACCAGAAAATACTGCAGGTATCAGCTGGTTATGGTTGTCCACTTGGTTTGAATCTCTCTGCGCTTGCAGATCTTCAAAGGCTTGTCTGGTCTGACCAATCACGTGATTTTTTACACTAATCTTTTTCCAGCATTGGAAAAAGAACTCAACTGTTATTTGTATGTATTTCTTTGTTTTTAACTATCTGAAGTATTCTACCATCACTACTAAAAACAAGTCTTTTCTATTCCCTTCATTCTTTTTTGGTCAGTTCTGTTAAACCCAAGTTGAATATTTTATGGTACCTTCAGGTTAAATCATGATGAAGAATGGGAAACTTGTGTCTCTGTGGCGGATTTTGACTGGAAGCAGATAGCAGAACCTGTGATGAAGTTATACACTGAGACAACTGATGGTTCTACCATAGAGACCAAAGAGAGTGCACTCGTTTGGCATTACCAGTATGCTGATCCAGATTTTGGTTCATGCCAGGCTAAGGAACTTCTCGATCACCTTGAAAGTGTTCTTGCAAATGAGCCAGTTTCTGTAAAGAGTGGCCAACACATTGTAGAAGTAAAGCCTCAGGTTAGTATCCAAAGTTTTCTCTCTGTTATATATTGAAGTAAGGTGTTCACAATTCACATTATTAGGAAAGCTATAGAGTGAAGCATACACCTTGAGGTAACACCTTTGTATTTACTTCAATTTCAAGCTAAAAAGGAAAACACTTGTGGTTTGGAAGTGGCATTTTTGACAATGTCATTTGTCAGTGTAAATTCATGATTCATTCTTCATATTTCATCTTAATTCCAACCTATTTTTGTTGAAGTATAATATTTCAAATTCTGTTAATTAGTGTTTTTTAGATCCAAATTGGTTGAAAAACCATTCCTGTTAGCAGTTTATATTTTAATGGTTGAAATGTCTTATTTGAATGATTCAAACCATGATGTTTAATTAAATCATGAATAAATTAGTAAAAATATATAAAAATATATAAAAATATATGAAATAGGAATAAGAAATTATAATGCAGTCTGCTTACAAACTTAAGAAACAAATAGAAGTATGTTGTTTAAATTACTATGACTAGATCACTACTCTGACATTAAAAATTTTATATATCTAAAGAGACCATTATTCAATGCTGGTCCAAGCAATCCAGCATCTTGGGTACAAACATAACCTCTGGCATTTTAGCACGAGTTTCTTACTCAAGAAAAATATAAAATCCAGTTAAAGAAAAGATCTATAGAAAAAATAGGAAAAATAGTAGTTGAAGAGAATATTAATCATCCACTTAACATAGTCTCTTCAAATCAGCCAATGTTCATCATACAAAAAATAATAAATTAAGAAAATGAAATAAGCATCTGGTCAGCCTATATAAGTTTGCATTAAATGATAAGAAAGATAACTGAGAAGATTTAGTGACATCATACAAAGACATCTTTATATTACACAGGGAAAGAAGAAGGGGAGTCAGATAATCAACTGGAATCAGGAATCAGTTCATAGATCCTCAAGGCCAAATAAAGGTTTTCACTCTTTATATTCCACATAAAATTATGTTTCATTTTGGATTTCTTAATGAGTTTCCTAGGAATCACTCTTTGTATAGATTTTCTTGAGGGGTAAAGTCTCTATTTCCCTCTCCCCTTCCTAGGCTATTAATTTAATAAATTTCTTATTTCTTTAAAAAAAGGGAATAAATCCATCCAACAGAAATGCAACCTATCAACCCTGGGAAGGAAAATCCCAATGAATCCATATCCATTTTCTATATAATCAGACCCTGGATAGACTTGAACAAGATGCTTATTCTGGATGCCATTAGCATCCAAGATTCATAAGCATAAGTAAAACTTGAAATCAAAATTTGCATTTGGGTGTCATTTTTTGGAGCTTTTTCTATTTTTTACTACAATTATCATATGAAAAAGTCCATTAGAAAATATAGAAGAGTCATTCATAAAACATGGGATAAATATAAATAACGTACACACAGAGATGGAAAAAAAATGATATTTGCTTCCTTCTATAGAAAAAGACACAGAAAAGAAGAAAAAGAAGGAAATTGGAGAACTATTTTATCTCTATTTGGATGTCAGTTCAGCAAAGTCTCTACAGAGGAATAAATCCTTGGAAGGGTAGTGAGCACACTATGCTTTTAGATGTCATTTTGGACTTCAGAAATATTTCAGGGATGCCTTTTCCTTTTTTCTTTTTGAGTTCTCATTTAGGTAGTGTAACATGAATATAAACACATAAACACATGATGCACTTCTGTAATTTTTTAAAATCTAAAAGGCTTTTCAGCCTCCAATTTTCCTGGAAAGTAGGGCATGTTTTGATTCAGTTTTTATTATTTTGTAAAACAGAAAATGATGCTTTTTTTTTCTGTTTTGATGTTTTAGGATTACAATGTAATATTTAAATTGGTCTTTTACAATGTGATTTTAGAACAACAAGAAGAAAACCTGTTTTATTTGACATGGATGTTTGTTTGTACAGTCCCTCTGTGTACATGGTTAAAGCTTTGTACTCTCTTTTTATTAATACAAAACCTTACCTTTTCAAAAAATTATTAAAAGGAAAAGGTCCAATCCTGATTGAATGAATCTTGATTCACATGTGTGATTTAGCCCTTGATAACTGAATTTAGCATTATGTAACCCATTTTAAACCTCTGGGTCCAGACTATGGGTCCTTGCAACAATGCAGGTCCAATCCTGCAGTCTGGGTTACCATGGCAATGGTTTTATTATTTTATACTATTTTATTGTGGCAAGTATATCAACAAGAATGGTGTTCTTATTTCATACCAAATAAAATTTCCACATAAGCATCTAAAATGAAAACTGATATTCTGTTTACAAAGCTTCTTTTATTGGTTTTGAAAATCAAGATACATCTAGGGGATAAAAATGGTAATATTTCAAGAGCCCTACTACGGTGCAGAAATGAATATTTGTGACATGTTAAATCTTGATTTCAACCAATCACCTTAAAGACATCACATGATTTATTTACTTTTCATTGGTTCATGTTTCACAAGGTGTGATTGTCATTTAAGACTTCAACAATGTTAAACTGGATGTGTCACTTTATCATTGGTTCACGTTTTTTGCTTCACGGTGCAGTTTCTGGACCATAGATTTTGCCATATTTCAAAAGTTCTAAACAAAAACCAATTTGGCAAACACGTTTTTGTACTGTCTATAGAACTAGTCCAAAGAGGCAAAGCCTTGGCAGTGTAATATAAGAAATGATTATTTCAGTAATTTTCTCTTATTTTGTCCATTGTAACAAGATAAGGTCTATTTTCTGTCTTATAGACAAAAAGTATGTTCTTTTAATATTGTGGTGGCACAACTAAGAGTCTTGGGGGGAGGCAACGGTCCCTTATCCATTTGAAAGATTCCATCTTTGTTCAGACTCGAGAAAACTCATTTGGATGATTATAACAATCTGATCTGTCTTTTGTAGGAGGTATAAATAAAGAAAGATGTATGGAATATTAAAAGACCCATGATACCCCACTTAGTTCAGTGAAAGAATTATAAAAACAAAGCCATGTCTAAATGAGTATTTTTAGCCTACCTGTTTCTGAGTGTATATGCATGGAATCTTCCTGTCATTAATTCATAGATTTTTTGGGATGTACTTGAGTTACAAAATTGTAATTAGGAGAGTTTCTTTTGATTTGTTCTTTCATGGTGTTACCTTGACACCTGAGTAGTTTGTAACTCCTCTCTCCCTCTCTCTCTCTCTCTTAATAAAAAATTTCTTTTTACTATAAAAAACCCATTTCTCATTCCATTTGATTAATTTTTTTGTAGTGCTCTTTCTTTTAGGTATTTTAACAGTATTGATGTTGATGAATGAATACAAATCACAGTTAATTGTTATTCTGCGATTACATATGGAATTATGGGGCTTATGTTTCAAATCTTAAAATTCCTCTCCTCCTATATAGGGTGTCACTAAGGGTGTTATAGCTGAACGCCTCCTAGCAACAATGCAACAAAAGGGGATGCTTCCAGATTTCATACTGTGTATTGGTGATGATCGATCAGATGAAGACATGTTTGAGGTCATCACCGGTGCCATGACAGGCCCATCCCTCTCTCCAGTGGCTGAAGTATTTGCCTGCACTGTTGGTCAGAAGCCCAGTAAGGCCAAGTATTATTTGGAAGATACAACAGAGATAGTCAGAATGTTGCAGGGCCTTGCCACTGCATCGGATCAGGCAGCAATGAATACTTCATTAGTTTCTCAGTAAGTGATTGTTGATGGAAGACATATAGGGAGTTCCAGTGTTCTTAAGGTTTTATGGGCATTCCCTTCTATTTCAGCAATACTGTTTCATTCCCTATATTGTGTAGGGTGAGGTTATGCTGTCAAGATCATGGTTCAGCACTTCATCTGGCAGAGCTCTGAATCCTGAGATCACGGGTTGGCTTCCTATTTACTATAAGAATATAATTGTTATAAATGGGTATTGTTGCAATTGTATAATATGTATTAGTTGTAGACTATGCATTCAATTTTCTTCTCCATGGTTCAGAATTGCAGTGTACATAAGCATTGACCAAAACCAGTGGTATATTTCTTCATTAGGTATTGGGCGGCCAAGGTTAATCTGATTTAGTTTTACTGCTAATAAATTTGGAACTTCTGAATGCAATATGTTTCTTAAAATTAACATGGTTCCTTCGCATATTTGGCTTCAAACTGCACATTGATCTTGAGTTTGGGCCACCTCATTGTTGGGCTGCATCTTGAACTCTTGGTTAGGACATGCATTGGCCTCATCCATTGGACAATTTTGTTGTCGGATGAAGTACAAAATTTGGACTCTCGAGAGGACTATATTTAGTTTGCTCTTCGTGGATATTGCTCATATACATGTCAAATATGAGGACTGATTTTTTGTGATTATAATGGTGTCTATGTATACATTTAAGAAAACATACATGGATGAGAGCACTAAGGCCCATGTTATTTTGTAGGTCCTAACAGTCGCACATCTTCTTCCTTACCTCTTCACTTTTAGGAAACTTAGAATTTCCATTCTGATAACGTCTATATTGAAAGGAATAACCAAATAACCATTGGTAGGGCCCTTGTAAGAAACACTTAAATCTTTTTCCCTGTAAGGTATTATGAAGTTAGTTTTTAGGTTTTATAATTAAGTGGCTAATCAATTCTATGCCAGTCATTCCAATTCCAGCCAGTTAAGGTTCAGATTCGAGTCGACGTCAATAAATAATGCCATCAAGGCGTAGGAGATCTCAATTGCGTTCTGTTTTCTTGTGTGAAGGAGGGTGATGAGGGGCGATTTGGCCATTCAGTAACGTGATAACATATGACATCTCAGAAAAGAAAAGTCAGTTGACACCTCAGCACTATGTAAGTAAACATCAGAGCGCCTTGAACACCTTGCAGCTGCCCTGGCGATCTCGACACCACCTCGGCAGGCCGAACTGTAATCAGCCCGGCAAAACATCAGGTCAGTGTAAGAGGTGACCCGCTTTCGCCGACCTGACATGAGCTCAGTTAGCGACCTACTTGACGTGTGGAGTGACCTACTCTACGGGCAGAGTGTCGTTTCTGACTTCCCCGAGATCATAGTACCATATTGGAAGAAGTCGGTTATCACTCCGCCCATTTTGGACGCAATTGGAAAGACATTACCCGCTTATGCGGAGTTCATTTTTGGGTGTGAAACCGCCTTCGAATAAGATGGGCCGGAGATCTTGGATGTGCTTCGTGAGTCTCACGCAACTAGCCTATATAAAGGCATCCCCATTTACAGAAAAGGTATGTGCGATTAGCTCTCAAGCATACTAGTTCTCTCTTTATAGCTCTCCAAGGACTTATCACTGACTTAAGCATTGGAGTGCCTACCTTGGTAAAGCAACCCGGACACTCTGACCTCTTTTTTTGCAGCTCAACTAGGTGACCTACTCAGCCTAGCATCTGAGTTGTTTGCTAGCAGGGAGCGTCAGATCGCGCACCATCAATTGGTGCTGTCTGTGGGAAACGCTACACAAAAGTCGTACTCTCCCACTTTCTTTTTTAGTACGTCTTCAATGGCATCTTCCAACAACACTCTAGTCAACAACCCTGTTAACAACAACAACTCGGTCACATGGGTGTAGTACCAACCCGCTGTGCACCCTGAGATCCCCTTTATGACTATTGGGCAGTTTACCATGCCCTTGACCCTATCAGGTGTCCCAGTCATACAAAATCCCAACTTTCCTCTACCCAACATGAACATGCCTCTCTCGCCAGTTGCCTCAACAGTTTTGATCAGGATCGATGTGTGCTAGTTCAATGAGTTGATGCAATACATCTGTGGGATAAACCTGCAGATAAAGACTGAAGGAATGGTAGGATCCATCTAATGGACGCCAAAAAGGTTGCGGAATGGGTGGCCGAATTTCAAAAATTTCCTACCTTCTTCCAACTGGGAAATCGTATTCCCTAAATTTAGAATACCATATTCAAAGATCTTATTTGAACCATAATCGAACCAGATCTGAACCACAAGGTAAAAGGGAGGATTATACCTGATCCGGAGAAGCAGTATCTCCCAAAGTTGGTGTTCACGCCCAAAGAAGAAACCAAGATCCGCTCC